TAATTATGAATACATAATACACACAGTCTTTTCCCAAGCACGTAGTATGAAGTTTGTTACTTACACTTCAAACTGGAAATATTTCATTATATATCTAAAACATAGCTTGTCACACTTTGTTACCAAAAATGTATGCTTTATCTTCTGTGCAATTATTCAATTTTAAAAGCCAGAACTAAGTATCCTCGGTTTTGTTGGGTCTCATTGGGTTCTCTTTTATTATATTCCCTTATGGGTTATAAGCTTTTAAAAAAGAAGCAATGATTTTATACTCAGAATAATGCATTACATTTGAAATAGTTTAGGCCTTATTTACATAAATATCAGTGTGTTTTTATAACATGAGATTCAGGCCCAAGGACTTTATTTTACTTACATTCATATCCATTACAGTAAAGGTATAAAAAAAACACCTCTTTGTTTACACAAATAGTGGTTCATAACAACTAAGCTTTTTCCTATATAATTTGTCATTATCGAAAATACTTTTTTTGTATTCAGATACCTATGTATTGACTAATATACACTATCATAAAAAGAAAGTTAAAAGTTGAATCAATTTTTTCAACATTATATAGGTCCTACAATATAGAGTATTACTAGCCTGTGCTACATTTATGTTCAATTGTATTTAAATTGTGATATGTACTATTATATAATTATTAACTTCTCAGTACCAACTCTGGTTTTTAATATGGTATGTAAAGATACTTCCATAAATGCATCTATTCTGCTCCAGTCAATGAAAACATGGTTGTTTGCAAAAACAGAAATCCTCTTTGTTCAATTGCTGCATACAATTCAAGTTCTAATCCATTTCTTAGAAAGATAAAAAGGTTGCTAATTAATATTTACACATTCGTCACTAAAGTTTTATTACAAAATCTATAATTATGTTTACCATAGGTGAGTATTACATAATCATCTAACTATTTTTCACTCTTAATTAAATTAAAAGAATCAAACCAAAAGAAAATCAGCCAATCTATTGGTAAAAAAATTAAGTGAAAGAGTGATAAATGCATGCATAAATATTCTTATATATATATATATATATATATATATATATATATATATATATATATATATATATATATATATTATATATTTTCACTCTACAACTTCTAGTATGCTTAGGTTACTCCTCGACGTCTGTTCTTCAAATGTGCCTGAAAATACACAAGCAATTTTATTTTTTATAAAGAAAATGAAATGGTATATCATAATTTTGATAATGTAAGACTTGAAGTTTAACACCTAAAATGTGATGTTGCAAATAACCTTAGTGCTTAATCATGATGTTGATTAGAGTAAAATTATATTTATAGAGTCAACTGCAAACACATATACACACAGATACCCATGAGCAAGCACTCATCTACATCTACACTTGTCACACTAACTCACACAATAAACGAAGCAAATACTCAAAGAAAAAGGTAAAAATATGTACCTATAACTTCTAAGAAATTTAAATAACTACCTGTAAAATGTCAACAAAGGCATCTCTTCCAAGCAATTCGTAAGCAACCCCTAAGATATGACTGATGGCTTTGTGGAATACTTCTCCTCCAAAGGTAAACATATTGTGACCGAACTCCAGTCCCATTCCTTGGGAAGAAAAACAAACAAGCATTTAGTCATCATCGTTAAAGTATCATTGCGCATTTTTCTTTTTTCTTTCTTGTTATGGCATATCATAAATAAAGAAATAAATATATGTATATGTATATACATATGTTTGTATATGTGTATTATACAAAATAACAATATAATTTCTGAAATTTTTTATAATATAGTGGTTATCTATACGTTGATCATTAATTCCAATTAACTTTCAGTATAAATCAGGTATTTTGAATGAGCAATAAAAAAATTAGATAAATTAACAGTTGCATAAATTTTTGACTTGTGTACTCTCATATATAATACTTACCAAAGTCTCCTTCATCAAAAGCAAACTGTACATTGGTCATGAGCTCTTGAACTGCATCAAAGTGTTTTAATCTTTCTTCTTCTGATTTGGCATCCACTACTTTCTGGAATATCTTTTTCAAGCAGGCTGTAGTTGAAGAGAATAACAATTTCAACAAATATTAAGGAAGAGAAAGAGGAGAGAGGGAGAGGGTACAGAGGTGTGGTAAAATGAGAAATTGGAGAGATTGGAGGAATCAATGATTGTAAATAAGCATTGCAAAGCAAACCTGTGCACATACAAACTAAGAGCAAATAATTATCTACATAGAAAATTAAGATCTGAATATATGAAAGGAGCTGCAATTAGAAACAACAATAAATGGAACATTAAAAAATCACTTTATCTGGGGAAGACAATAAATAGAACCTTTAAATCTTCCCCTTCAGTTGCTTAGAACAGAATCCATACTTTACTCAACCAAATAAGTAACAATGCATCCATGAAAAAATAAAGGAGTAATGGCTTAGTTGACTATTTCTGAGATTTAACTTACCATTCGTTTCTGGGATGGGCCTGTAGCCAACATCATTGTGCACTGGGACCACAATGCCTGCTCCATGGAAACACTTACTGACCACCTTTTTAGAACGTTCTTGCACAGAAGATGGTCTCTGCTCCAGTGAATGCTTCTTTAGCTTTGCAAAGTTATCCACTTCTTGTTGCAATCTTTGCAGAGTTATTTTCTTGAAAGGATTCTCAGCCTTCATCCTCTGTGACAGATATATGCTGGAAGTGTTTAAATCTTGCATTATATTTATGCTTTAATAAAAGATGGTCTTTATGATTAAACAATCATAAAGATAAAATACAGCAAACATTATATGCAAATCATCATTACTTTATTCTGGATAAAAAATGTAAAGAACATAAATATACACTACCATACACAAAAATCACTTTTTTGGGAAAAAAAAAAAAAAAAAAAAAAAAATCCAGACAGAAGTAATTATTCTACATCTATGCAAATGAACCATCATTTATTTGTATATGCATATATTATATTTAGAAGGGGTATCTAATTACCATGGTAAATTTGAATAAAAGAAGTATAATGATACAAATTTGAGAAGATATTAATGATTCAGAGAAGAAATACAAACAAAAGAGGGAATACTGGGTAAAGAAAGAAAAACATAAGAACAGAGTATAGGATGAAGGCCTGGTCAGAGGAAGGGCGAAAAAGAAGACGAGAGGGGCCCTAGAGAAAAAGAGATAATAAGAAAGGGAGGGGGGAGAGGAAGGAGGGAGGGAGGGAGGGAGAGAGAATGTGTGTGTGTGTGTGTGTGTGTGTGTGTGTGTGGTGTGTGTGTGTGTTGTGTGTGTGTGTGTGTGTGTGTGTGTTATCTGTGGCTTGCTGTGTGTGTATGTGTTCGTGCTTTCTGTGTGTGTGTGTGTGTGCTTGCTGTGTGTGTTGTGTGTGTGTGCGTGCATGCTGCTGTGTGTGCGTGTGTGTTGTGTGCGCGCGTGTGGTGTGTGTGTGTGCGGGTTGTGTGTGTGTGCGGTTGTGTGTGTGTGCGCGCGTTGTGTGTGTGTGCGCGCGCGTTGTGTGCGTGTTATGTTTGTGCGCTATGTGCGTGTGCGCATTGTGTGTGCGTGTGCATATATTATGTGTGTGTGTGTGTGTGCATGCATTATGTGTGTGTGTGCGCATGCATTATGTGTGTGTGTGTGTGCATATATTATGTGTATGTGTGTGTGTGTGTTGTGTGTGTGTGTGTTGTGTGTGTGTGCATGCATTATGTGTATGTGTGCATGCATTGTGTGTGTGTGTGTGTGTGTGTGTGTGTGTTGTGTGTGTGTGTGTGTGTGTGTGTGTGTGTGTGTGTGTGTTGTGTGTGCATGCATTATGTGTGTGTGTGTGCATATATATGTGTATGTGTGTGTGTGTGTGTGTGTGCATGCATTATGTGTGTGTATATGTTGTGTGTGTGTGGTGTGTGTGTGTGTGTGTGTGTGTGTGTGTGTGTGTGTGTGTGTGTGTGTGTGTGTGTGTGTGTGTGAGTGAGTGTGAGGAGTGAGTGAGTGAGTGAGTGAGTGAGTGAGTGAGTGTGTGTGCTGTGTGTGTGTGTGTTGTGTGTGTGTGTGTGTGTGTGTGTGTGTGTGTGCGTGCGCGAGTGAGTGAGTGAGTGAGTGAGTGATGAGAGTGATGAGTGAGGTGTGTGTGTGTGTGTGTGTGTCTGTGTGTGTGTGTGTGTGTGTGTGTGGTGCGATGCGAGTGCGAGTGTGTGTGTTTGCGAGTGCGAGTGTGTGTGTGTGTGTGCGCATGTGTGCATTTGCACCTGTACACATGTGCATATGAAGTATGTGTGGTTGTATGTGTCTGTTCTGGTTGTGTGCACATTTTTGGAACATTGGATGCATTTGCATGTATGTACACATAACATGTTTTCCAATTTCTCAAAAAAAAAAAAAAAAAAAAAAAAAAAAAAAAAAAAAAAAAAAAAAAAAAAAAAAAAAACTTCTCCCCAAAATATGCAGAAAAATACTTCAAGGTGAGTTACCTGACAGCACTAAATATGTTCCCTCCCATTAGGGTAATACTGCCAGGCTTGACAGAGGACATTGAACCAACAAAAGCTGGTAAGAGGAAGCAATCATCTCGATAATATCCTATGTGATATTCGTCTCGCTTCCTGCTATCACAGTCTGGAAAATGACAAAATCTCAGCAAAATTTGGGAGACCCTAATGATTAAAGTGGTGAAAATTGTAAAAGAAAAGCTAAATAACATATGTGCAAGGTATGTGAAATATATGAGTAATGTGTGTCAGAGAGAAAATAAAGCAGAAATGAAGTCGATAGAAACAGGTTAGGTAAAGGGGAGAAAATGTGAGTATATTACATATCAATATGGCATCAAAAAATGCTAATTACCCTCACTTCTATTCCAGATTCCCAAGAACCCTTGTGGTTACTTACCATGAACTCTGGCGGATCATAATAATACCGCCAGTGACAAACATAACTTGATATTTTTCTGGTCTTAAGGTTTTTTCAGCTTGCCTGAGAGGATGTCTATGGGCCAACCAGGGTGATACCAGCTTTGATGAATGCTTCTGCGGGTCATCAAATTTGATTGTTAAATTCAATATAACTATGCCTCTAATATGCAATCTCAAATCTCACATATACTGACCCTTTCAAGTACATATAAGAGCTTGTTTCCTACAAACATTCCAGCTCCATATTTTGAACTATGTCTGACTTTTGGGGCAGTTCAAAAATTTGTTTTCTCTTACCTTCAGGTTTTTCTTTGTTAAGTGTCTTGCAAAGGTCCCACAAATCAAAGAAATCATCTGGCATATCCAAAAGAAACTTCTGCTCAATGCTCTCCCGCACATTTTCTGGTGAGGCAGCTACCTCCAACTCATGAACAGGGGACTCAGCTGCATCTTCTGGAAACAGTTAAAAAATAACAATTCTTTAAACAATGAGTGAATGAATAGCTGACTGAGTGTAGCATGTGTTTGTGGGGAAAGGGGTATGCATATGTGTATATGCTTTCTGTATGTGTGTATGGTATGCATATGAGTGTGTGGTATGTGCATATGTGTATGGTATGTCTATGTATGTGTATGTGTGTATGCATTTACCTGTGTGTACAGTGTGTGTGTGCATGTGCATTAGTACTTATATGTGCACATGTCTAGGCATGCATGTATACTTTTATACATGGATTTGTGAGTTTGTAAAATTATGCATTGTATTATTATCACTGCACATTTACTAATCATTTTGCAATTAAAATGAATGTTACAAGCAAGCAAATCTCTAATTTCTTAAGGAATAAGAATATTACAAAATGCTGGGACTATATATGACTTCGTAAAATTTACCCATAACTTAAATCCATTTACTGTATATATGCACATGCGAACACTTAGACTCATACACTTGGCCATATAAACATACGAACACAATTTCTCTCTCTCTCTCACACATCACACACACAATGTTCTCCTTTGTTATTAATATTCCAAAATTCAGTGAGACAAGGAGAACTACCAAAAGTTTGGAAACTTGGTAATGTTACACCCTTCTATAAGAGCAATGACAAACAAAATCCTTTAAATCACCAGTTTCCCTAACCAGTATAGGCTGGGTAGATTTTGTGTTCATAAGACTTTAAAAAGGCTTTTGATAAGGTGTCTCATAGAAGACTTAAGATTATCAATATTAGAACATGCAGGTGGAGTGAAAGGCAAACTCCTTAAATAAATGAATGACATCCTTTATGAAAGACAGATGAGCACCTTAATTATTATGTTTACTATTTTCATCAAACATAAGTTCAGGTAGTTATCTGAATATGTTTACAGACAATGCAAAAACAGAAAGAAGGATAATAGATGATGCCTTAAAGCCAATAATCCAAAGACATTGATAACTTATTAATGTACAGCTGTACTTGGAAAATGGAGAGTTGAAATTGTCCACTATACTAATACAAATTAGGAGATGCAGTATCAAACACAGCAAGTAAGGAAAAAGACTTGGAATAATCATAAACAGGAACCTAAGACCAAATGACCATATAAATGAAAAGGTCCATAAACTGCTAGGGCTGATTGCCGATACGAAGAGGGCATTTGTGTAAATGAGCCAAGATATGATACAGAAGATACATACAACCATCATAAGAACTAGTCCCGAGTATGGTGCAGTGGTATGGAGTCTACACTTAAAAAAGGACATAGACAAACTGTAAAGGGTTCAACAAGCAACCACAAGATGGGCACCTACTCTAAGAGCTATGAGCTATGAAGACAGACTACAAAAAATAGGACTCACTACTCTAGAAGAAAGAAGGAAAAGGGGGAACATGGTTGTGCTGTTCAACTATGTTACAAGAAGAGTGAATTTAGACAAATATGACAAAGTTTCTATACAAGAAGAATGAAAGGATAAAAAGTTGAAAGTAAAAAGCGATGATAAAGATGTTAATTTTTTTCCCCAACCAGAACTATTGAAAGATAGATAACAGTCACTCACTCACTCACACACACACACAAACACACAAACTTTAGAATCTCTCACCCTCTGGCTGACTGGTGTCAGCTTTATCATCATCTTTGTCAATGGAAGGAACTTCAAAATTGTCTCCAGAGTCAGAATCATTCTCTTCATTATCTTCTGTTTTGCACTTCTTCCCTTTAGGAACTAGATCCTGGAACAATGAATAAAATGCATCCATTTTTAGAGGTTAAGGATATTTAACAGCAAAACTAGATAAAACAGATATTATGATGAAAACAAATACAATAATGACAGTAACAATAACAATAGCAATAAGAATAACAAAAATGACAATGACAATAACACCAACAACAAATGATGATAATAATGATACTAATAAGCAAAAAATGGTGATAATGATAATGATAACAAGAAAATAATAACAAAAGGTTAATCTTTACAGTATGGATCCACTAACCCAGGGCAAATTGAAGATTATATTCTTGAAGAGGAAAAAAAGTCAAAGTCGTTGGTACAAGAAATAAAGGAAAAAATTGCAGAAAGCG